CCCCCTGACAGGGACTACTTTAACGACATGCCTTCAGATTACAGCCACTGTGGACTCTCTAAGATCATCGCCATCATGACAGAACCAACCAGTGACCGTGTGAAGCTGTGGAAAGACTTTAAAGAACAAGCTAAAGACTGCTAAGATCAGTAAGAAGAGCTCAATGAAGAATGTAATTTTTTTTGAAAACTAAAGTTTCTGATTAAGTTCAGCTCATCTATGTAAAATATTTTTCCAACCTAAAAATGTCTTCTCTTTTATATAATGCCATGTCCTTTCAAGAACAAAATCCCAAAATGCTTTGTCTATTTAGGTCTATTGTCTCTAGCAGGCTCCGCCCACAATTCCACACCTGTTCTGCATTTTGTTGGATACAAATATAGTACATGCCCCTGAATTTTGGATAAGTGTGTGTGTGTGGTGGGGGGGGGGGTGGCATTTGGCTATGGTGACATTTGGGGGCAATTTTAAGACAAAGCTCCTACCTTTGGGGACAACTGGTGCATTTGGGGACACAAGTCGAATCCCCATTTGGTTTAAATGCCATTGGTGGGTTGGGGGTTGGTTTTAGGACCAAGGTGTGAATTGAGTTTAGGTTAGTTTTAGGGTCAGGTAGGTACCTGTGAGGTTAGCCTTAGGGTTTGTGGTCAGGGTTAGGCTGTAGAAATGTAATGGATGTCAATGGAATTTCCTCAAATGGATAACTGTGCAAACTTGTATGTGTGTGTCTGTGTGTGTGTGCTTATTTTGGCTGCAGAGTGAGAACCATGTTAGGTTTTTAAGCAACAAAGTGAGGTCATTTTTGGAAAGTGAGTACCTTTTCCTGGTCCTTACTTTATTTGCAGCTCTGCTGAGCTTTACCACTTAGGTTTAGAGGTGTGGCATGAATTAAGTTTTGGTTCAGGTTAGAGTTAGCTATAGACCAGTAATGGTTAATTTTGATAGTTAGGTTTAGAGGTGTGACATGAATTAAGTTTTGGTTCAAGTTAGGGTTAACTATAGACCTGTAATGGTTAGTTGTAGGGAAAATGTCTGGGATAGGCATAAATACAGTTACAAAAATGAATGGAATGGTAAATGGACTGAACTTATAGAGTGCTTTATCAAGTCCCTCCAGACCCCAAAGCGCTTTACACTTACAGACATTCACCCATTCACACTCACATTCACACTAATGATGGCAAACTACACTGTAGCCACAGCTGCCCTGGGGCACACTGACAGAGGTGGGGCTGCCATACATGGCGCAGGACAACTCCCCTAATCACTCCACCACAGCCGCCCCCAACACAATCAATACAATATCCTCAGTTTGATGCAAATACAAGGATGTGTGTGCATGTGTGTGGCCTTGTTTTTCCTACGTCATGGAGACAATTTTCCCCAAAAAGCAGCCTCATGGGGACAGAAGTGCATCGTGGGGGCCTGGCATTGGTCCCCACGGGTCCAAATGCAAATTACGGGTGTGGGGTTAGTTTAGGACCAAGGTTTAGGTTAGTTTTAGGGTCAGGTGAGGTTAATTTTAGGGTAAATGGTCAGGGTTAGGCTATAAAATTTCCAAAAAATGAATGGAAGTCAATGCACGGTACCCAAAGGGATATACAAACCAGACCTGTGTGTGTGTTAGATATAAAATTACAATTTGAAATGTATTTCTTTTGATTTTGAGACTTCATAAATAACCTTTTATTCCATCTTTAAGTCTTATCTGTGATCATCTGTAAATTATTTATTTAATATTTCACAGTTTAAATATTTAGTTATTATATTCATCCATTTAATCTCGTGTTGTTTCAGTGAGTAAACATGTTTTTGATGCTTATAGAGAACACTTAACTTTAGCTTTAAAGAACTTTATCTTTAATTTCCTTGAGAGTGATAAACACCACTTTAAGTTTAACAATCGCTGATAAAGCCTGAACTTTACTGGATTCGTTTTATAATTTAATTTATTCATTTTCATTTAAAAACAAAACAAATATTATACACAACAAATACAAATCAGAAAAAAACCGAAAAGCAGCAGAAAGAAGAAAAAAATCTTATTAATATCTGCCCCTTTATAAGTGATTCTATTTCAGATTAATAGTTAAATGGAAAAAGTCTTTTTTAAATGATTTAAATAAATATAAAGCTGAAAACATGTGTGCATATGTAGGTCTTTACAGGTTTGTCTTCCTGATCGTGGTCCATCTAACGTCTGCAGCTAGCATCTGTCCCTGTAACCCTAAGTAGTGGTGATTTCAGGAAACTCTTTACAAATGAAATTAGTTTAGGAGTTGTTCACAATTCTCAACATTTTCATGAGTGTACAAAATAAACATTTTTTAAAAAAGTGAGAGTGACAATATCCCAGCCTCACGTAAAATGGATTCGTGAAAATTGGGGTGGGGGCGTCATTGGTGAGCCGAACAGGATCCGGATGTGGTCCGCAGGCCGCCAGTTGAAAAGCCCTGCCTTATAGTGTTTTTTAAAAAATCTCCCACTAACAGCTTTCATCCTAGCAGCTTCAAAATGATGTAAAGTTTAGACTGTTTCACAACTAAGAAAATACTCATCACTAGCAGCAGCCAAGGGGCGTGTCCTGAGCAGCTTGTCAAAATTAGACCTGTCCCTGTTGGTGGGTAGCTGGCAATTTATAATGTCCCAGTGAGCTGTATCAACAAAACTGGAGTGATAGGTGGACGTGCACGCAGTCTGGATCGCCCCTTTATCACTGCTTGCAGTTTTAATTATTTATTATAATGCTGGTGATGTCCTTATATTTACCCATTAAACCAGATGAATCCAGTCACTTAGATTTCAAGACACTCGCTCAAGCTTCTGTAGCATTTTGCATTTTCAAAGTTGTAGTTGTGTAAATGAAAACACAAATCCCTGAAGATTCATTTTAAATTATGTTCCATGTTTTGACGATGCTGTTATCTAAGCACAGAATACTAAAGTTAGGTATTTAACAGCACGTTCCTCTGAGCAGCTGATTGTATCACATTAACCCATTCAGTCATTTAAGGGTTTAGCTGAAAAGTGCAGCTGCTTGAGTGCAACTCAAACCACAGGAGGACTGTTTGCCCTTTAAACTCTACACGACCCAGCTCATTCCTGGGAACCAGCATAAATATCCTCAAGGACAAGAACAGGGTTTGTCTGCACACTCTGAAGAGTTTTAAACATCACACACATCTGTTCAGCTCATTCCTGTGCTCAAGGAGAGCAGCTCGTCCAAGGACACAAAGCATTGTGGGATTTCCCTTTACGTATTAATACCATCAGTCAACTGTACTCCCAGAATAGAGCGGTATATCTTGGTAGAATACACAGGATGTCTTCTATTGTTGTTTAAATGAGTTTCTAAGTCAACATGTCAGGCATCCATGTAGGGCTCAGGTTAAATCAGTATCTGAGCTGCTAACTGGGCTTAAAGTACAGAGTGAAAAGCTTCTGAATAACTCTTTGTACCCAACTATAACCAATCATCACCAGTTAAGACACGTGCACCAACTGATCCCATGAATTTGACCCAATTACTCTGTTAAAAGCGGGTCCCCCTCTTGACCCATGATCATAGAAGACTTTACAGTACACCAGGCAGCGCTGTCCCAGACTAGTTGGCAACGTCAGAATTTCAAGAAAGCTGGCAATTTGTGAGTTGCAGTCAGACTGGATTTAGAGTTTGCAACCAGGGAGCCGTAGTTTGCTTTATAATTTTTTTTAAAATCTCAGCCTATTTTTGTGTGCATAGTTTACAAAACTTTATTCTTGGCCAGTTATATTGTTTTGTTGCCCACTAGAGTTAGCATTATCTCAGTGTTAGCATTAGCTCAGTGCTGGAATGACTTGTATAAGTCATTAATTGCAGTAATTGGCTGTGTCCAAAACAACAGGCCGGGTCCTCCGAAGGCCAAATTAGTCAGCCACATACGTCACAGCGCCGCGAAGAAGGACGTCCAAAACCGAAGACTCCTCTGATGCGGCCGACAAATACGTCCTTCCTTTGGCCTGAATTGAAGGACTGGTCTGATGGATCCTTCCCGGCCCACCATATCCCATAATGCATTGCGGCCTGAACGGAGATTTTTTTATGCTAGTAATGGCGGACGAAGCGAGAGAAAAGAATAAGTTTTAAATAAAAATATGGCGATATAAAAATTAACTTTTTTAGCGGTTATAATTCTAATACTTTTATCATTTGTATAAACATGTTTTTAAATATTATTTTTGGCATAAAAAACCGCGAAATAAACACGCTCCTACGGCGAGTCAATTAGTTCTTCAAATGTTACCTTTAAGTTAATTTTATTGTTTTGTGATATTAATAACACTAATATATTGATAGTTTTCTAATTTTGATCTATTTTTGCTTCTGTTTAGCATCGTCATGGTTGCTAGGTGACATGACGTACGTCAGGGTGGAGAGGAGGCTAGACCGTCCAAATTCACAGACACTTTTTTTTCCAGTCTTCTCGGTCTAACAAGGACCTGGCCCACCTCAACCGGGTAGTCTGGGTCCTCCGGAGGACCCGGCCTGTCGTTTTGGACACAGCCATTGCCTGCCCACTAGAGTTTTAGTAGTCAGTATTAGTGTAACATCGGCATTAGCATTGGCTCAATGTTAGCATTAGTGTTAGCTCTGCACCACTTAAATTAGACTTAAACAAGTCACTAATGTCAGTAACAGCTCAGTGTCAAATATTAAATGTTGGCAGTTTTCTGATGATTGTTTGCACACAGTACAACCCTACTGCCCACACGTTTCTGATTCATTCTACAGGAGTACACTTAATAAATGAAGAATGGCTGATTTAGACTAGTTAGACCTGAACATTTAGGGAGTTCTCTGGTGTGTTTTCTGTCAGAAGGTCATTCAAGACCCTACTAATAAAACTGAGAAGAGTTTCAGATGTCTGCAACAACCCTGATAGAAAACTGTGTCTGGAGAGGATTCATGCACACTCAGTTTCTCAGTGCAACCTGTTTGAACATCTGCTTTTCAAACTCACTTTGGAAGCTGGCGGAAGTCTCCAGAATACTCTTCATATTTGTAGTTGACCACATGCCAGTCAGACTTGTATGTTTTGATGCACTGCAGAGACAGAAACAGACACAGTGGATGAGAGGCCTCTTCAGTTCATTTGTTTTTGCACTGCTTTTTTAAAATCCCAAGACAACATTTCAATCAGAAACACTATATTGCCAAAAGTGTTGTCTCACTTGCCTTGACTCACATATGAACTTAAGGTACATCCCATTCCTAATCCATTGGGTTCAATTTGATGTTGGTCCATCCTTTGAAGCTAGAACAGCTTCAACTCTTCTGAAGGCTGTCCACAAGGTTTAGGAGTGTTTATGGGGATTTTTGACCATTCTTCAAGATCATCCACACCAGACTCTGCCATCCATGTCTTTATGGACTTTGCTCTGAGCACTGGTGCACAGTCATTTGGATGGGTGAGCAAATACTTTTGGCCATATAGTGTATGCAATATGTGAAGTGGCTGCAGTGAGAGGAGCTGCTGGCTGGGGCTGTGAGGAAGTACAGCCAACGTTACAACTGTTCTACTGAAAATGATAAAGCAAACATAGACAACCAGCAGTTCTCCACGGCGGTGATGATCGGTAAGAAGTGTGCCTCATATTTAATCTACTGGAGTACACTTTAGAAATGAAAAAACAATGCTGATTTGAACCTGTTTTTAATAAACATTATTATTTTGGTGATTTTAGACCAGCTAGTGTAATCCTTAAACCACAATAATAATAAAAAACACTCCTTTTTTTACTCAGTTTATAAAAATCATTTAAAAATTTGCACGTGCACACAGAACGAGTCAAAAGATCATGAAAAAGTCAGATTAATGAAAAAAAATTGTCAAATATCCCGTGTGTATACGAAAGCACAGCTGCTCCAGATGTGTTTATGATGTCATTCATAGCTACATTGGGATGATCGCCTACCGTGTGTTCTGTAACAGAACTCAACTCACACCAACCACAGCACACAGCTCCTCGAGAACACAAATGGAAGTTGATTTTCAGGCCAGAAACATCATTTTCAACGCATTCAGTGCTAGTTTTTATAGCTGCATATGATTTTTCTACACCCTACGGGATTCATCAGTCCAGATCTTCTGTCTAGACTGAGACAAAGCACCATGTTTGGGTTAAATGTGTCTAAACTAAAGGTCAGTGCAGGGATTTAGTAACGTCACAGAGCCTAAGAGGAGATGGGCAGAGAATGGACAAAGAAGGCTCACATCCAGGTCTTACCTCTTGGACAAACAGAGACTGAGCTTCTTTCTCGGCGGTCTCTGGCACAGTGGAGAGCAAAGTCCGGCCCTGGCGCCACAGGGTGGAGATCTGAGAGGGGAAAAGAGAGAAAGTAGGTATGAAAACCACAACACATCCACTCTGCTGGTGTTTTATGGAACAGGTCCGGTTTACTTCCTCATGGTTACATGAAACTTTAGTGATCCCTGTAGGAAACCTCTCTGAACTCCTCAAAGGAAGGTCAGAACTGGTTAGGAACACACTGGCTTCCAGGGAAGCTCATTTAGAATTAAACTTTCATTTTAAAAGCTATTTTTAAACTTTTTGGTAGAATTGTTGAAAATACTAACCATCAACTTCAGGATTTTAAACTATGGTATAAAAAGACAGATAATAATAAGAACAGTTTGCCATAACATCTTTACTTTACTCCCTGGTCCCCAGGTTCCTCCATACCTATATTCCCCAAATGCTACAGTGTAGCCTGGTATGTAGGAGGAAACCCACAAATACAAGGAGAACATGCAAACTCCACACAGAAAGACCTCGGGTCCAAACCTGGGATCAAACCCTAGACTTTCTTGCTCTGAGGCAACAGTGCTAACCACCGAGCCTTCGTGCTGCCAACCTTCGATGGCGTCCACCTCTGAAGGTGGTGCTTGTTCTTTAGACAACCTCCTCATATCTCTTGCTTAACTGCTTACTTTGTGTGTGGGTCTGTGTTAATACGAATCTGTGTTTATACAGCATGAGTGCTCGGCACACCCAAATATCTGGCGGACTCCGTCCTGTTTGTCTCTCAGCTCAGTGATGTACAACACATGGCAGGTTAGACAAAGGCAGGCAGACTCTCAAAGTCTCAAGCTGTTGAACTCTGGCCATCTACTGCAGACAGTCTCTTAATGAAAACCACCAATCATCCCCCTATTGTGAAACAGTGAATTTTCCACCACACACTGTGACGTCAGTTTATGAATGTTTGTAAAATATTTTCAAGCAAACAACTGCGGCTTTGTTTTTGTGGGGTGGGGGGTGATATTCACAGTTTTAAAGTTTTAACAGTGGTCTTTGGAAGGAACTGGATGCCCAGTGAAGATTGGTCCATGTTGTTTGAGAAAAAAAAGATACTTTAGCTCAAATTCCTTGAATAAAGATTACTAGTTTGAATCAGTTTTCAACTCTCATCTTGAACACAGGCACCACACAGGGATGTGTCCTCAGCCCCCTTCTTTACTCACTCTTCACATATGACTGCTCCCCCATTCACACCTCCAATAACATCATCAAGTTTGCTGATGACACCACCATTGTAGGATTGATTTCGAACGACAAGTCAGCCTACAGGGAGGAGGTCCGGCACTTGGCAGTATGGTGTAAGAACAATAACTTGGAACTGAACACAAATAAAACCAARGAGATGGTCATGGATTTCAGAAGATCCACCTGTACCGAGACCACGGCCCTCCTCATCAATGGAGTGGAGGTCGAGAGAGTGGAGCATCTTAAATTTCTTGGAGTTCACATCTCTGTTGACCTCACATGGGCCTTTAACGCCCATTACTTAGTGTACTTCCTCAGGAGGCTGAAGCTCTTCCACCTCTTTCAACACCTGCTGGTGAACTTTTACAGAGTCACCATCAAGAGCATCTTGACTTACTGCTGCACAGTCTGGTTCATTAGTTGCACAGCACAGGACAGGAGAGACCTGCAGTGAGTGGTGAGAGGGGTGGAAAAAAAGTCATAGGAACTTCGCTCACCTCCACCCCCACCCCACCCCAAGGGACATCTGCAACTACCGACTCCAGAAAAAGGCTACCAGCATTTCAATGGACATTTCCCATCCTGGACACACTGTTTTCCTCCCTACCCTCTAAAAAGAGATTCAGACAACTGAAAGCAAAGACTAACAGGTTGAATCACAGCTTCTTTCCCCAAGCTGTGAAAGCCATTAACCCATCAGCCATCATGTATAGATTTTATTGCACAGGTATAGATTTTATTTTATTTTATTTTATTTATTTGTTATACTTTAAAGCTGCTGCCTGTGAGAGGATGTTAAACTGCATTTCACTGTTTTAACACTGTCCTTGAACATTGTTTTCATTAGCAACAACAAAGCTATTCTATTCAATTCTTCTCTATTTGTTGTGTTTGGAGCTACATAAACCAGTCAAGGTTGGTGTCCAACAGACGTGGGCGTAGTTCTGCTAATGAACCAACAGCTAATTGCAAAACTACATTTTTGTTTAGCAGATTTTCGCTAACTTTGAAAACTGTTAATGGACCAATTAGCTTCACAATTTTCCCTCAATTTTAGTTTCAACTAATCACAAAGTTGTGACACAGACAGAGAGACAAGATATCTTTTACCAGTTAACAAGCTGTTAGTGTTGGATTCAACTACTGTTTAGTTGTTTAATTGTTGAGTGATAGGTTCTGATAATAATGTTTTTTAGCAGTTTAGCATTAGTAAAGCTATATTTTAGTTAATGGATGAACGTTTTCAGTTACTTTGAAAATTTGCTTCTGCTAAATTAAGTTTTTCCAACTTTACGTCCACTAACAGCTAACTAACAAGCTAACACCAGTCCCACCAGTCTGCAGCTGGACGGAGACGAAATACGTGAGACACAGTCTGAGACAATTGTCTTAGCAGTTAGCGATTAGCTTCCACTGTTTTTTTCTTTACATGTTAACCAGCTCAGTGTTGGCATAGCTATATGTTTAGTTTGCAGTTTATAAGTTAGTGAAGCTAACCTTTTGGTTAGCTGTGCCCCCCACTGCAAAACAATACTGTCAACTCTGTTTGCAATTACAGGTTAAAACCTTTACATTCTGAGGGTAACTAGCAATTAAAGATGGTTTCAGGTACAACCCACTGCAATCATGCTCTTACAAGAAAACCAGCTGTTCACAAGAAGCCAGAAAACTTAATACAGGACCTTTTAGAAGCCATGCGAGTACTGTTTTGTGTCTTCCCTTTGGCACAGCCCCTTTTCAAACATTCACTAATGTCTGAATCTTAAACCACTGATGCTTTAAAACTCTGCCAGCATTTCAGGGCTCCACAGGGTTCCAGTTTTGGGGTGGATCAGCAGTGTCGAAAGCTAAAACAAAGACTAACGTTCAGCACTTATTTTTCTTCAGTTGTTGATGAAATCTTCAGAGAAGCAGCGAGACACAGACATTTTTATTACTGACAGTAAATCCCCAGAAGAAACACGTTACAGAACCAGACCGCTGGGCTGACAGATGATTAATGTGAGCCTGCACATTGTGTTAATAGAGCATAAAATGTGGATTATTCTATGCCTGGCTGTAAACACCAACCAGTATTTGTACAGTTTCTTCCTGTTTCAACGTTTTTGGTTTTAGCTGTCAGAAAGCACTGTCACATGTTGATCTTAACATGTTGTTTTTCTCTTCTACTAAAACTTGTTGTTTGTGACACATGAAAACTCCTAATTACTTCAAATTTGGATATTTTTATTATATTTTTCACTTAAGCACCACTACTTTGATACTGACACAATGCATTCTGGGGATGATGATGATCTGCTAAACAAAACATTAGTTCTGCTTTTAGCTCTTAGCTGAGTAGTGAAACCATGCCCACCACTGATGTTTTGTGTTGATTTTAAATCTAAATCTATGTAGAAAGAACAACTTAAATCTGTAAAAATGAGTGGATTTATTTGAAATTTTATGGTAAATTAATTACCAGCCATCACCTGCTCTGTGACCAACGAGCTGACAGCCGTCTTATACCTGAACGAAACTACAGATTCTCATCTCATTGGTCCAGGTCATCGGCCCTGTGACAGAAACTCAGACTATAGCAGCTTCATTAGCTTGTTCACTGAGGTTTATCCATCCATCCATCCATCCATTTTCTTCCACCTATCCGAAGTCGGGTCGCGGGGGCAGCAGCTTCAGAAGGGAGGTCCAGACCTCCCTCTCCCCAGCCACTTCTTCCAGCTCCTCCGGGGGAACTCCAAGGCGTTCCCAGGCCAGCCGAGAGACATAGTCCCTCCAGCGTGTCCTGGGTCTTCCTCGGGGCCTCCTCCCGGTGGGACGTGCCCGGAATACCTCACCAGGGAGGCGTCCAGAAGGCATCCTTACCAGATGCCCGAGCCACCTCAACTGGCTCCTCTCGACGTGGAGGAGCAGCGGCTCTACTCTGAGTCCCTCCCGGATGACCGAGCTTCTCACCCTATCTCTAAGGGAGAGTCCAGCCACCCTGAGGAGGAAACCCATTTCGGCCGCTTGTATCCGGGACCTCGTTCTTTCGSTCATGACCCAAAGCTCATGACCATAGATGAGGGTAGGAACGTAGATCGACCGGTAAATCGAGAGCTTCGCTTTCTGACTCAGCTCTCTCTTCACCACGACGGACCGGTACAGCGCCCGCTTTACAGCAGACGCTGCGCCAATCCGCCTGTCGATCTCCCGCTCCGTTCTTCCCCCATTCGTGAACAAGATCCCCAGATACTTAAACTCCTCCACTTGAGGCAGGACGACCCCCCTGACCCGGAGAAGGCACTCTACCCTTTTCCGGCTCAAGACCATGGCCTCGGATTTGGAGGCACTGAGCCTCATCCCGGCCGCTTCGCACTCGGCCGCAAACCGCTCCAGCGAGAGCTGCAGATCTCGTTCCAATGAAGCCAACAGGACCACATCATCCGCAAAAAGCAGAGATGTGATCCTAACGCCACCAAAACGGATCCCCTCAACACCTCGGCTGCGCCTAGAAATTCTGTCCATGAAAGTAATGAACAGAATTGGTGACAAAGGGCAGCCTTGGCGGAGTCCAACTCTCACCGGAAACGGGCCCGACTTACTGCCGGCAATGCGGACCAGACTCTGACATCGGTCGTACAAGGACCTGACAGCCCTTATCAAAGGGCCCGGTACCCCATACTCCCGGAGAACCCCCCACAAGGCCCCCCTTGGGACACGGTCGAACGCCTTCTCCAAGTCCACAAAACACATGTAGACCGGTTGGGCGAACTCCCATGCACCCTCTAAGACCCTGCTGAGGGTGTAGAGCTGAGGTTTAGCCCAAGCTAAATGTTAGCATGTATATTCTGAAGTAGTTGTACAGTCATAACTGGTTAAATATCTGATCTGCTGTTTAGTTCAGTGTTTATATATGAACCTGCCTCTGGTCGCTGCTCTGGTACAGTGTGAATATATGGAACAAAGTGACGTGCTGGAAGTATTGATCCAGTAACTTTAGCGTCGATACGGTCCGAGATTCTCAGTCATCCAAATTAAAAGAACAAAAAAAAAAGAAACAACTGGACTTTATACTGTAGCTGGAGACGTGTGGAGTTACAAGATTTAAACTGTACGACTCAATGTTAGTGTCTTTATTATTGCATCAACCTGCTCACCAACAAATGAAAGGAGATATGAGCGTTTAGACTGCAGTCACTTTGAAAAACATCAGATATTTATCTGTTTTAATTCCACATAGTGAAAAGACCTGGACAGATAAAAAAAAATCAGATTCAGACAATGATTTGATTTGTGATTTGGGTGGCATTTGTCTGCTGTGTAAATATGCCTATAGTTACTGTGGTGGGTGACCATATTTTTTATAATAAATTAATATTATAAATCTAAAAGCTGCCACAAATGTTATCAAACTATTTAATGACACATTTGACCTAACCACTGAAAACATGGATGAAATAAGAAATATGAAAAACATAAAATGTATTGTTTATGTAGATGTAGTGTTGTCCTGATTTGTGTTTTTTATATAGATATTTGCTTTTTAACCATTTTATCTGAAGTGGCAAATGCTTAGTAAAGTTTAATAATCACAACAACATAATTGTTTATATTTACACTTCATTATCCTGTTGACTGAGGACATTATCAGCAGCTGAAAAGTTGTAACATAAAAATGTATTCATTAAATTCCTCTTTTTAATCCATCGAGTTACATGGAAATAACAGAAACCAAATTAAATCTTATTTAGGTGGCTGTAACTCAAGCGTTATAATAAAAAATATTGTGTGATGACAACATAATTGATACATTACATCATTAAGCCCCACCTCCTGCGGAGCTGTCTCATAGCTCATTAGCTCCAGTGTTATTAAAGCAGAAGTATTGTGTATTTTCCAGACACATAGTTCAATTCTATACTTAATTCTATACTTAATCAAGTATTTATGCTACCTTCAATTGTTATTAAAATGCTGTATATATGTATTTGACTTTGCATCTAAACACCTTGAAATTGGCCTTTATGAAAAACTCCTACCATTTCTGACACTCCCACTTCAGCACATCTTCACAGCAATGCTTCGGGGGGGCTCGGTGGGGGGGGGGAGGGGCTCTGCTGCAGACTGAGCTATAGGGAGGAGCTTTGTACAAATAGGCGGAGCTTTGTACCAGCAAGTGTTTAGACAGCTCCACACGGTTAACACAGGCGATACAAGGATTTCTCCAACATGCATGAATGAGTCAAAACAACACTCTATTATGTATGTTTTTGATGAGGGTATGATATTATATCATGTTATAAAGCTAAAGAAAAAGTATGGTTTGCATAAAACCACTATTTGAATAACCAAGCTGCAGAACTAAAATATATGTCAGAACTCAGGAAAGATTTGATTTTGCTCTGTGACTCTAATCCTCTTCCATATATTTGTCAAATAAGAATAATTTTAGAGTTTCTGACAGTGTACGTAAACCTCAGGTCCCAGCAATAAAAAGTACAGATTGTTTCGTCTCGCCTTACCTGGAAGTCGTCTGTGGGGAACTGCAACATGTCGCGGAGAACATCGCTGATGATCTGGGTCTTCCTCTGCAGGAGGACGTTTTCATAATCCAGAGGCTCTATGATCTTTGGTTTGACCTGCGGGAGCAACAAAAACCTGATCAACCTCTGGATCGCAGACTGTTGAGGGATTTTATGAATGGCTGGACRATAACAAGCGGATCACTGTGATGGTGGATGGATCAGCAGCAGAAACAAGTTGCCATTGTCTCAGCGCTGAATGATGGGTTGGCAGGGACAGACGGAGGAACAGGCCCAGAGACAGCGGTGGACGAGGGCCTCAGGAGGTGGACGTGTTGGATGACAGAAGAGATTTATGGGTGAGAGTCTGTGGGAGCCATTGTACCAGTCTCAGAGTCACAAGCTAGTCTGAGCGCTGCTAAACGGATCAGTTATTGGACAGACCCCTCGTCCCCCTGTAGCGCAGACGTGTATGGGAGCGTTTGTGTTTGACAGTAAGTGAGACAGCAGAGCTCAGTTCCTCAGATTACAGTCCCGTGGCACCACAGACATCAGCTGCAACATTCCACAGGATGGACCTGAGTGGGTCACCCTCCCACACAAACACCAGAGGCCTCATTTAGGATTGTGTGGAAACCATACTAAAACTGAACGTACGGCCAAAAGGTAAAAATAGCGTAGGCCAAACAAATAAAAATTCAGATTCATAAAACCATGCGCAATCACACCTTCAAGCAATTTTCCTTTACGGATCAGAGCTGCACCTCAGTTTGCGCCTCAGGTTCTGCCCTCTACACGCCCACACTCAACCATAAACACTCAATGCAAAGTACCTCAAAAACAACAAAAACTATTGGTCGACTCAGACACGCTCCGTCGTGCGTCTGGAGGATGACAGGTGCTGACAACTGCTCACGTGAACAGAATGGGCCTCATGCAAGAACATGTTCGTATTCTTATCCTAAATTTCTCTTACTTTTGTTCGTATAAAAGGGTTCGTACGAACATGTCACGTCAGATTCAACAAACTCTTCTATCTTCAGGAAAAGTGYGTAAATGAGCTGCGTAAATTCCACCTGTTCGTATCCAGCTGCTCGTGCACGCGAGAGGAGATTAGCATAATTACCACCCCAAAAACACCATATAAGGCTATGTTTCCTGCCTCAGATATCAGGAAGTGTCCATTCATGAAAATGACAGCAAAAACTAAAAAGAAAAACTTTACGAGTTCAGAGATTGAAGTCCGTCTGTCAGAGATCCAGAAAAGAAAATCTGTCATTTTTAGCAGTGTCAGCTGTGGAATAAAAAGAGCTGCTAAAAGTATAAACAACTGTGTTAAATCATTTTCATTTATTCAGAAGACACACCGTATGCGCACCATATTTACACAGATTTTCCCTCATTTTGCAGGTTTACAGACGTTTAGACGTTTAATTTTAAATCTTATGAATCTTTTTAAAAACTCAGCTTCAATTTTTTTTTCAGAGCCTAGGATGCTAAAAAACAAGAATAAATCAAATAAAATAACCCAAACATCCCGTTTTTCAGCTAAAAATAAGCTCCTCCTCTTTCCTCCTTCCTTGCACTGCAGCCTTCACTGTGACTGACATCCCCAAAGGTCCTCATGGCTCAGCAGCAGAAGCATAAATATTACTGTTACGAAAGCTGATGATAAAGTTGATGTAAAATCTAAGTCTGATTATGAAGTGAAATTAAATATCTGACAGTGATCATGATGCACTGTCTCAGTTTCCCGCCTCCAAAATGAGCGTGTGCATGGATCAGAGCTGGTGTGAGGGACCGCACATTTTCACACCACGTTTGAGTTTTTTAAATCACAACCTTTGCGTGAAAAGTGGCGTACGCAAGTTTTATAAATCTGACCCCTGATCTCTATGTTAGTGCTGGTGGCTGAACTTTAACTTCCTGACCTGATAAATAGTCCCTGTCAGTGCCTGAAATGACAAACTTTCATGATACAAATCCATTTATGGAAAGATAACATTGATAATGTGCAAAAAATAAAAATAATAATAATTCATGCCACGATTTGGAGTCAGAGTTAAAAGGGTTCCTTATTACATCACTTCCTGTTTCATAGTTTAAGATGTTTTCTTCTACTTTTGTATTTGTAGGAAAAGTGTAACACTTTAACTGTGGTGGGTACAGCTAAACAAAACGTTAGCTTCGCTAACCGTCAATCTGCTAACTAAAAATTATCTTTGCAAACACTAAACCATTAATAAAAATAAGGTTATAAAAGCGTTTGAAGCTAACGCTAACTGATAACCGCTAGCTCAAGATCTATGCACAAAAGGCAAAAGAGACTCAACATGCAGAGCTAAACAGAAAGGAGAAAGTGATGAATGGAGCAGAGAAATGGAGGAAAATTTTAAAAAGTTTGTGCAACAAGCATCCAAATGTAAAAGAACAGAAGTTTTCTGTGATGGAGGGGTGGAGGTCAGCGTGACTAAAGTCAGCCGGGCCACTGATGACACCCAGCAGCTCCTTCATCCCAGACCTGCTGTGKATGTTTGTGTTTCTGGATGACAGAACATTAAACACAGCCTATCAGGAAGGTTTCACCATACCTGCTGAAGTCTTTCATCTGCTAAATAACACATTTAAACCAATCCATCCTGACTGACCGCAAGAAAACAACTTTTTATTAATGAAAAACAAAAAATATTTCAGGAAATAATCTGTTTTCTTATCATATGTAGCTGTTTTTACCAGCTCCAGAAAAATACATTACAGTAATTAATTTGCTCTGTGTGTGTGTGTGTGTGTGTGTGTGTGTG